CTAGCATCCCCCAATGCAAAGTTCCCAAAGGGAATTCCCATAAAAACAAAGACAAAGATGTGAACATCACAGGAAACCAAGAACAACAGAAAACATAAGGCTACATCTGGTGGATTTCTATCAACCCTATTACGGAGCCTAAAGAGAGTTCAGTCTTGCTCAAGGATCTTCCTATGGTACTACCACATTGGGAATTGTTCTATAAATGTGATAGGAAATAAAACATTTGGGACCTCCCTGCATGTAGCCATGTATCACAGAGAAGAAGCACCTGTCTATACAAACCAAAAAAAAAAAAAAAACCTAGGAAATGTTGCCTGGGCATTATTTCAGAAAATCTCCTGTCTCCAACATCTCTAGATATGGGTTTAAATTAGACAAAATTTAAACCAGCCTAAACATACAGGTGAGAGAGCGGGTGGGTGCATGGAAATGGCCAGCAGCCAATTGCTGCAGAGTTGGACAATTCAGGAAAAGCCGTAGGTGCTCGATATCCTTTTCTGCACACTCAGCTAGTACAGAGTATTAGAGTGTCCACTAACGCTTAGAGTAACTACTACTTAATTAATACTTAATGTCAACTAATACTTACTTCATGTCTTAGTAAGGGACAGTGCAGCCTGGAAGAGTACCTTGTTGGAAATGGAATTTGAGGGTCAGTTCAATGGGTCAACAACTGCTAAGGGTCTGCATCGGCAAGGAGTCCCCCAGGCATGTGTGCTGGAGGCCTGGGGCTGCCCTGTTGAGTGACGAGGACTCGCGGACTGCTGGTACAGGGAAAGACCTCTCACAGATCCACCTAATGGCACACATCTTTGGTGGGTACATCCTGACTTGCCCAAAGATGAGGAAAGAGAATGGGAATGGAGTGGCATAGAACAAAAGATAACCACAACCTTCGGAAAACTCTAAGGGAACATTTAGATAAACCATTGGCCATTTCTCATGGAGTAAAAATAAGATGTAATTTCTTCAGTGCAGAGGCATAAAAAGAGAACAGCCTGAGACAGAAAGAAGAGGAAGAGCAGGTCAAGGGAGATGTTGAGATACAGGAAGTGTAGAGAGAGAGAAATAAAATGCACGCTCTTTGTAAGGAAAAACTCGTAAACCCAAGTGTACCTTAGATAGAAGACGCCACGGAAGTAAGTCTTCAGGGGGGAACTAGGTGCACACTGCGTCTCTCCATTTGAACATCTTCATGTAAGGATAATTTGGAAGAGAACTACCATGAGGAGAGAAGAACTTCAATAGAAAGATACTCATGATCAACTCTTGACGTCTCCTCCGGTGTAAAGACCATCAGGGTTTCCAAATGCAGGAAATCACAGGGTGCTCTGCAGCAGAAGGGCATTTCAAATGGCAACCATACACCAAACAAATTTACCGTAAGGAATCCGAGCACATTCTGATGTGTCTTCTGGTGACCACTCTGATGAATAAAATGTTCATTTCTTTTAAAAGAAGACTATGTCATGAGCCACCAGGAATTATGTTTATGGTAGGGACGCTGAACATGGTTCAACGGGAAGAAAGGGTGGTATTTCATGGGTCTCATGAACCGTGGAAAGAGCAAAGTTGAATGGAAACCAAATGAAAGATCAAAGGCAAACTAAGGATTTGAAAGACGGCAAATAGCATTTGGCACAATTGATACGTTTCATTAAAGGATTTGAGTATCTGGAATATATACTTTGACAGAACATTTTTGTAATCCTGCCAATGAAGTGCAGACATATCCTTACACGGAACACGCCCTGGAGAAGGGTGAACAATGTGAGTTTCCACTAAAAGCGTAAACAAGTAAATGATGTCACGATCATCATTTTTCAAGATACTGCTGCAAGTTCTAGTCAATATGTTAAAAATATGTCATGAGAACTGAAAATATTCAAAAGGAGACACAATAAAGTCATTCTTGCATATGATTATGTACACGGGGGAAATAATTCAGAACATCAACTAAATAAATTAGGGTAGATGAGGTATTAGTTATGATGGTATGAAATCAATACACAAAATCAATTTTCATACATATGAATATTAACATATCTAAAAAGAAAGCCATTTCATATTAACAATAATAAATGGTCTGATCATACCTTATGAAGCATGTAAGACACACTGTATAATATAAAATCTGAGATACATAAAAGACTTGTCTTTAATCAGAAGCTTCTGGTGGCAGAAATTTAGTGTGTAACAATATCAATATATTTTTAAAAATAGTAAGATTTTTTGGTAACAACAAAATCATTCTAACATCGATTCTGAAAAAAAATATGTAAGTGTCAATAATTCTGGCTTGAAGAAGGTAAAACCAGTTCTTCTGCCCTCATTATATTATTTATTGTACTTTCAATAATTTTAGCCTGAGTATGATGAAGTCTTTCTATTTAGAAAGTACCACTAGCTAAATATTCGAAAAAGAGGGAAGCATAACAAGTTCATCTTAGGGCAAAATAAATTCTGGATTAATTAAATATTTATACTTAAAAAAGCAATGATTATGTTTATCAAAGTATTCTATAAGGTTTAGGGTGAGATTTTGAGCCAACATATATTTATTAAGAAACACAGCATTTATTAATAGAGATGCTGACATTTTTGCATTATAGACACATATACACATACATACACACATGATTATATAGTCAGGTTTTATTGTGACATTCTCTGCATGTGGCCAGGATTGTCTATGTAGACACACACCCATATACACACATACAGATATATGCGTGTACTTTTATCATTTATTAAACAGTATATATTTATATGTGTACATAAATACATACAACTTAAAATGATAAGTAATAGAAGCAAATGTATATAAAATTTACATATATACATTTTAGGGAATAATAGAATCAGTCAGGAAATATATATGTATATTTTGTACAAACACATACACATATACATATATATTTAATAAAGAATAGTATCACTCAGGAAGTATATATATTTAAATTTATACATAATATATATTTATTTTGTATATGTACTTCTAACATACAAATATATAAAATATAAATATTTAATAAGTATTAATAAGTATTTATTATATATATTTAAATTTATATATATTTATTTTGTATACATACATTTATTTTGCATACATATAATATATATTTATTTTGTATATATACTTATACAAATATATAAAACATATTTAATAAGTATGTATTATATATTTATATATTATATTATAAATATTTAATGAATATTAATTGTTATATATTTATATGATAAATATTTATAATTATATAATATATATAATATATAAACACACATACATACACATAATGGAATACTACTCAGTCATAAAGAAGAATGAAATCTGAAACCTTGCCATTTGCAACAAGGTCCTATGCTAAGTGAAAAAGTCAGACAAAGAAAAATATCACATGATTTCACTTGTATGTGGCATCCACAAAAATAAATAAATAAATAAAACAAATGAACAAACAAAACAATAGAAAAACAAACTCATAGATACAGAGAACAGGTTGATGGGGCCAGGTGGGAAGGGGATCAGGAGGTGGGCAAAATGGATGAAGAGGGTCAATTTTATGGTGATGGATGGTAACTGGACTTTTGGTGGGTCATTCTGTAGTGCATACAGATGGTCTAATAACAACGTTGCATAGCTGTACATATATATATATACACAACGTATATACCATTACCTAATGGTCTATACAAATTTTACTTCAATACAAAATAATAGGTATCTATTACTCATGTAATTTTTTCATTTTTATTTAAAAGAAAAAAAATAAGGCCCTCTACTGTTGGTCTGGGGGGATCTAGAAAAGGTGGTGAAGGAGAACTGGCTTCTTGCGTCTGAGCCGCAGAAACTCAACTTGGGAAGCAATGGGCTCAGTAGTTCAGCCTAGACAAACCCTCAGGGTGAGAAACCTGGCTAGAACATCCGGAGGCTGTATAAGTGACTGTGCTGCCCCCACGTGGACAAAATGGTTCTCTTTGTGGCTCTGCTCCATGGTCACAGAGTCCAGAATCAGTGGCCGTGGTGTATATTCTGGGATTGCTTTAATGCGCACACCAACACAAGACTGGCTTTGCCATACATGCCTGGACCTGGGGGCGTTCTGCAGGCTTGTTTCATTCCTCCCTTCACGGACCATAAGTTTGTTGAGTGCTTGCCCCAGGACCATGAGAAGCTATTGGGATGGTGAAATGCCTGAGAGCCAGTCCTTACTGTGTAAGCAAGCAGATAAGTTAACTCTTAAACATCTATGAATGCAACCTGATAAGGCTACAATAAGCAGGAGGAACAAAGTTCTGTGAGCACTGGAGAAAACAGAGGGTGCTTTGTTCTTCCTGAGAAGGGCCAAAGAGAGCCTCAGAAAGAGGGAGACTTTGAGCCAAGTCTCGAAACCCAGGAGGACGTTGCCCTGTGAAGGAATAGGAGAAAAGCACCTTCAGGAGAAGGAACAACATAAACCAAGACCAAGAGACCTCACTCCCCTCGGGGAACATCCCGTAGCACATGTGGCTGAAATGAGAGTGATGGGGTATGGGAGGAGGCAGGATAAGACTGTAGAACGAGGCTGTGGACAAAATAAGAAGGGCCTCACAAGGAACAATTTCAAGACGGATGGAAATGTCAGATGCCTTGGAGCTTGGGGAAGAGGAGAATTTGGTAGTCTCGGGTCATTTTTACTTTTGACGGAGATGAATGTGAAAGCTAGTTTGGAAATGACTGAAGGGAGAATGAGTAGCAATGGAAGAGGAACATTCAGACCTCACTTCTAGTGAATTCAGACTTGCAGATAGGAAGTGAGAAGCGTGGGAGTTTGAGGGAGGGTTTTCTGGGTGGGGTGGATGGTTGGTTTTTAAAAGATGAAGTAGACTAGAGTGTGTTTCTGGGCAGAGGAAAAGGCTCTGGTGGACAGAAAGAGGCCAGAGATAGAAGTTGGTGGATTACGTGAGGATGAGCTAAGAAGAAGTGGTAGAGTGACTTTGTGAAGTAATACTCACATCTAATTCTCTGAAACAGGAGACAAGAAAAAAGCATAAGCAAGGAAGCTCTCCTTAAAAATCAGCCTCTAGGCATGCCTGGGTGGCTCAGTCGGTTAAGTGTCTGATTTCAGCTCAGGTCATGATCCCGGGGTCCTGCGATCAAGCCCCACGTCAGGCTCCCTGCTCAGCGGGGAGTCTGCTTCTCCCTCTGCCCCTCCCCCCACTCGTTCTCTCAATCTCTCTCTCTGGCTCTCTCTCTCAGATAAATAAATAAAATCTTTTAAAAAAATCAGCCTCTAAGTTTAGGATTATTTCTTGATTTCATGTCATGAATTTCTCCAGAAGTGCCTAATTAGAAAAATCTTCCATAGCACTTGCTCTCGTTGACACTGAGAAGCCGAAGTCTGGGTTTTCAATTCTACTGAGCATAGGCCAAACCAAGGTTTTACTTTTTGCTCTTATTTTCAGGTTTTTATTTTGGTCTATTTCAACCTTGATTTAACAACTGAAAATATCAGACAAAGAGGGACTTAAAAAGAGAAGGCATTTCATTTCACCATTAACTCAGCCTTCCAGGAAATCCTACCAGTCAACAGCTGCAATCAGCTGCACCATAGCCCCAACCCGAAACTCCTCACTTCCTGGTTAGGCTGGACCAATTAGGGGCCATTGACGTTTCCCACAACAATGGGACTCTAACTGTACAACGGACATCACAGACACTAAAAAATAAATTGCTGTCTATTCCTCATTCCACACTACAGTTCTCTTCCTGAATGAGATTCCTTCCATAAAACAAGAATTCTGGTCTTTGGTCTCTCACAGCTTCAGTTTTATGATACAGTCTGATCGATGAGGGTTTACTTCAACCACGATTTTAAGTGGCAAAGCTTAGGATTTTAATTGCCTTTAAATGTATTTCTCTAATTTTATAATAATTATCTGCCTTCTTTCTTCTCCACGTACTATCCTTCTGCATAACTGAAGCTTGGGTTTGGATATTATCTAGATGAGCAAGAAATGAAAAGGATCTATTTTTCCTAAGCCACCTTCCCTCTTAATACTATGAAGGTTTGATGAGAGCTGTACATATCCCCCCCCGGCACCCCCCAAATGTACCTCACAAAGTTCTGCAAGTGGCAAGTGGTGAATGGCACAAACACATGTGCCTTTCACTGAAAGAGCTAAGTCCAATTCTTAAACAAATCATGTGCCTTAGTCTCTGATGTTCTCCACAGATAATGTTCAAGGACGTAATGGTTGCTGGGCACTAAGCCGTGCCACGTATTGCACTGGGAGTCCTCTGTGGGTCATCAACCCAACCACAGCCCACTCTGCGCTCTGTTTATGTCCTGCATCCATGTCTTCCTGGATTCAGCTTCATTTCTTGTTCAACTTCGAGTCCAAATTCTTTATCTTCCCCCCTTCTGTACGTTACCATTTGGGGGGGCGGGGCGCGGAAATAAGCCAGAGCATTTTAGATGGAAAATGTTGCTTCAATGAAACAAAAGAATTCTCTAAAGTGGGTCTCTCCCTAATCTGCCTAGGTCATCTGTTAAGACAATGGTTGGCGAACGGTGCAGGAGATGTAGCCCTCTAATGGAGAAAGTGTTTTCAGGTTGGAAACTGTTGGAAGGTACCATCTTTAAGTTCATTCAGCTTTTTTTTTTTTAAAGATTTTATTTATTTATTTGAGAGAGAGAGAATGAAAGACAGAGAGCATGAGAGGGAGGAGGGTCAGAGGGAGAAGCAGACTCCC